CAGGGGTCTACCATACCAGACAGGACCCCAGGTGCAGGCTGTGCAAAGATGCCCCTGAGACAATCCAGCACATAACAGCAGGGTGCAAGATGCTAGCAGGCAGGGCGTACATGGAACGCCATAACCAAGTGGCTGGTATAGTGTACACAAACATCTGTGCCAAGTACAGGCTAGAAGTCCCAAATTCAAAATGGGATACACCTCCAAAGGTGGTTGAGAATGATTAAGCTAAGATCCTGTGGGACTTCAAGATACAAACTGAGAAACTGGTAATGGCCAACCAACCGGACATAGTAGTGGTGGACAAACAGAAGAAGAGGGCTGTAGTTATAGATGTAACAATCCCAAGCGATAGCAACATCAGGAAGAAGGAACACAAGAAGCTTGAGAAATACCAAGTGCTGAAAGAAGAGCTAGAAAAGATGTGGAAGGTGAAGGCACAAGTGGTCCCCGTGGTAATAGGAATATTGGGGGCTGTGACCCCCAAACTGGGAGAGTGGTTCCAACAGATCCCAGGAACAACATCTGAGATCTCTGTCCAGAAGAGTGCAGTCCTAGGAACAGCTAAGATACTGCGCAGGACCCTCAAGCTCCCAGGCCTCTGGAAGAGGACCCGAGCTTGAAGGAAGGAATACAAGACCGCCCCAAAGTGGGGGGCGAGTGGGGAATTTTTATTATATACAACCTTTGTTGTTGTCACACTATTTACACAATGATACTGTGAAAATGACTCAAACACTGACATCACTCTCCCCCCACTCTCAAAAGCGTTTTCCACCACACATCCATAAAAATGATAAAAATGTCTATGTCTATATCTTCTGAGCCATGCTGGCAGTTTCTGATGTATTTACAACCATTTGGCCAGCAGATGTCGCCAGTGTGGCAGATTCAAGTGTTTCAAAACAATCAATCACTTTCCAAAGCAACAGGCTCAATTGGTTCAAGCGGAGAGAGGAATGAACAGTGGAGAAGTGGGAGAAGAAAAGGGAAAGAAGAGGAAGGATCAACAAATCTAAAGAAGAAGAAAGGGTAAGGAAGGAAATTGGGAGCTGAGAAAATATTAAGTCATTTACATAAAGATGAGGAAATAAAATAACAGTAGGGAGCAAAAGGGTGAAGTTGCTGCTTCAGAAGATTGATTCAGACAGTTTGAAAGCTTCGTCAGAGTGGACAGAGAGGAACGAGACTAAAAACAACAATGAGAACATTTCCACCTAACACGAAGTTATAATGCTGTAAAAGTCAGCGGTTAATTTCACCCCCTATTACACACATTGTGAAAACAAACAGGTTTGTTACCTGTAGATGACACTGCTCCTCAGTCATGTTACATGAATATCAGGTATGAAGCTAAAGCACAGCAGTGACACGGGGCTTGACCTACATTTTATATCGAGACTGTGAGCATTTGTTGTGTTACTGTCACATGTTATGTAGCACTTCTGATGTATTACAGATCTAATAATAGCATGCAGTCTCTCTGACTTCTAGGGCCACATAGGAGACAAACTCAGTACTGTAGTGCTTTATGAGCTGTTTTACAAAGCAGATGTTCCTCTGTTTGTTTGCAGCTCTATTTGTTTCCAGACCCGATTTTTTTAATGCCAAGTTAAAAACACACTGACAGAAGTCGTCTCCATAAACTCTTAACACTGCAGTGAACACAATAACTCATGTTTGGTACAGACAGAATAAGGGTCCTGACAGTCACTTCTGAGTGTGTGTAGACAGACTCAAAAAGAAGCGGCCGCCTCCTACCTGGATTACGACAGGTGTGATAGAGCCACTGAACAGCAGAGTGAAGGTGAGCAGCTGGTAACACGACACACACCTGAAACACAGCACAGCCATTTCCGCTTGATGTTTGAGTTTCTCACAACAACCTGTTTCTGAAGCAAGTCACCTTTGTTCAGTTGTTTTCTAAAGTCAAATGAACACTGTCTTGCAGTGTGCTAAACCGTCTTACACTACTTTTTATCTCATTTTTACTATTATAGTTTGAATCTTTTTCCAAAGTAAACACACAAATAAAACTCAAAAGAAGGAAGAAGCAGAAGAGTAAAGATTACAAAACATCTTGTCTAGAAGAGGAATGAGAAGGACTGGATATGATAACAGGACAGAGATTAGAAAAAGATACCTGTTCAGAGTTTGCTGCTTCTCATCGGTAGACGCTGCTACCTGCAGCACCTCACCTATCACCTTCTTCACCTGCCCCAAAGCCTGATGGGAGTTTGTTGGTCCAAGCTGCTGCAACAGGAAGTTCCTGAGCTGCGGGAAACAAAGAGCTAACACCAGCCACACACAGAGAGGACCTCTGTTTATAGAGAGAAGGTGAAGAGTAAAAATGTCCCAGACAGAAACTGTTCAGTGCATTTTTTTCTTCATGAGCGACGCAGTATCTCAGAAACACAAACCAAACCTGTCTGACTCATTCCAATGGTGGAAAGATGCGCAAACACCACAAAACAAGAACAGCACACACAGGTCAGGGGTTAGGGGGCAGGACTCTGTTACCGCAGTACAATCATCTTTAAAGCAGTAAAATCAAAGTCTACCACACGTAAACTACTGAAGTACATGAGCTTAGATACTTTCACCTGAGCCAATCAGGAGCTGGTGATGGGTCTACTTTTACCTTATTCTGTTTATTTATAGTTTTTATCCTTTATTTAGCCTTTGGCTGCCTACCTGTCCACCTGTATAAGCCCCATCAGCAGAAATGTAATTCAGTGTTTTTGTTTGATTTGACATGTGCACTGCGATGAACCCAACTCCAAATCTAAAATGACTGATTGGTGTTTTACCTTTATGAGTTGCCCCCTTAGCTCCCGACTGGTCGTCACCACACTGGTGTCATGCAGGAATGATGTCAGTGGTCTGACCGAGGTCACCAGGATGTAAACATTCACCATGGCAACCAGGCTAGGAGGCGAGGCTCCGACAAGTGACTGACTGTCAGAGAGAAGAAGGTGATATGGAATGTACACTGATCAGACATAACATTATGACCACCGGCAGGTGAAACGAATAACACTGACTATCTGTTACAGTGGCAACCGTCAGTGTGGGGGTATATTAGGCAGCAAGTGAACATTCAGTCCTCCAAGTCAATGTGTTGGAAGCAGGAAAAATGGGCATTGATGTGAGCGACTTTGACAAGGGCCAAGCTGTCATGGTGCAATGACTGGATCAGAGCATCTCCCAGTCTGCAGGTCTTGGTGGGTGTTCTTGGTCTGCAGTGGTTAGTTCCTACCAACAGTGTCTCTGTAAGGACACATGGTGAATTGGTGACAGGGTCATGGATGCCCATGGCTCACAGATGATGAGGTTTATCTACTGTAGATTAAACTTTTATCTTCCATTTGTACTTTTCAAAAGATTAAAATTTATTTGAATCTTTGTTAAAATGGTTGAAAATGAGAAACACTGTACATTGGTCTCTGAAGAGAAAGAGTCAGGGGTTGTAGTGGCGATATCACACCTAGAGCAGTGAGGCTGTTGAGTTGGTCTAAAAAATTCTCTCTAACTTGTCCTCACAACCAGTTTTCACTCCTTTTACATACGTTTTTCACTGAATTGTAGACACATCTGTACTCTTCCTCACAGTAGAACTGTGGAAGCAAATGGATTCACAGAAGACGCACAGTGAGCTGCAGAGTGACACAAGTGACAACCGACTGCCACAGGGACTCCTATGTAAACAGTGTTAGGCAGGTGGTCATAATGTTATGGCTGATTGGTGTGTGTTTCATTTCCTGACCAGTGATCAGACATATACTCACCTGTCCTGAGGAATCTGGAGCTTCTGATTGGTGGATCCACAGGAGTGTGGCTTCATGGGTAAATCTGATCCTGATCATTGAAAGACAGGTATATAAAAACACCTGAGTTTTTCTGTGAATGTTTGTTTAAAAGTAACTCTTCAGACTCACCTGTCAGGTGTAAGTGCATGAAGAAGTGACAGAGACCTCCACCTGCATCAGAGAACGCCTTGAGCAGTCCAGGAATCAGGTTCACCTGAGGGCACGGAGGCAGACAGGTGAGACCCCAGAGACTCGGGTCAGTCTGTGTTTGGCTGGAGGATGTGTACAGGTGAGTCTTACCATTTGATGGTGCTGCAAGTGGGAGGAGGAGACTCTCCTCAGACAGCTACTCTCTGCACTACTGAGACACAGCAACAGGCTCCACCCACTCACACCTGTAACCATAGAGACATACAGGAAGTCACACCTGTAACCAAGGTCACACAGTAAGAAGACTTGTCGGCTTATTGAGCTAATACCAATATCTGGTCTTAATTTCATGTGCTTTGCTGCACTGGAAGTAGGATTAATGAAAACAAAGTGGACGTGTCGAATACTTACAGCGTCTCCCCCACTGTAATGTGCAGCTGTAGTTTATGTACACATACTGCAAACAGACCTATAATTTGACACTGAAAACAATAATAAACCCAAGTGCAGTATGAGTAAATGTAAATATGCCTAAAAATAAAAGATGTGCTGTCACTACTACTGAACAGCTGCGAGCCCACGTGAAAGCACCCTGAACATTTCATGTGGCTCCTTCTGAACAGGTTTTGTTTGGTTCGACCAGAGAGAGTCTGATGGAGCAGATTTTCTATCAGAGAGAAGGGACATCAGTGAGGAGGAAGGAAAGTGTTTCTCCAAATAAATGAAGTTTGAGCAGGAACAGGAAACATGTGGAAGCAATTGAGGAGTTGTGTTGTGCTGAGTTTTTCTTCTCAGTCTTCAGGCAGAAAGAAAAGAGGAGGAGGAAGTTTCTGTAAAAACACAGAGTTCAGCTGAAACCTGATCCGGTTTCCTTTTGTATTCCATATCTACAGTTTGAAGGTCTGAGTTCATGTCCTGTTCATTATTTTGCCTATATTTGCTGGTTGAAGCTGCTCAGAGGTCTCAGATCTTCTGTCCCAAACCAAGTCTCTGGGTTTGAACTGTTTGATTGGTCAAACATCAGGCGCCCATGTATTTCCGCCCATAAAGTGGCTACTCATCAGTGTAATTTGGATGTTGGTTACTGAACAGCGCCTGACGTTTCACTATGTGGCTGTCCAGCTGCTCTCAGAGGAAGTCTCCACCCTGCCTTTGTGTGCACATGGATCTGACCTGTGTGTGGACGCATGCGCTATTCACATACTGTATGTGCAGATGTCAGTGCACATGATCTTTACTGTCTGCAGCCTGATCACCCAAACAAAGATCAATTCAGTGTGTGTGTGTTTCTGTCCTGTGTTTATCAGCCATGGTGCACGGTTTGTTTTACATGCAGATACAAATTTTGCTGTGTTTACTTGTTTATAGTGTATGTCTTTCAGTGTGTCTAGGTTACATTTGTTAACATGTTTGTATATGTCTGTGAATGGGGATAAGTGTCACTATAATTTTAGGTTACATGTGTTCATACTGGAGGTTATATACATGTTTATGTCTTTACATGTGTTTATAGTTGTACATGTTTTAATATTTGGCACCCCTGCATTTCTGTCAGATAACCACCACTTCTCCCAGAAAACTGTTGTAATCACAGATTCTTTGGTGTTCTCATGTTTACTTCTTGTGTAAATGAGTTTCATTACAAATTTATGGAGCATCATCTGCTTGAAATATAAACATTGCTGATGGTCTTGAAAAGGTGTCAATAATTCTGTACAGTCTATCTTTGGAGTTTTGTGTGAAATGGATCAGATTTAGCTTTTTTCGTTGTTCCAGTGTGGACACAAGAAATAAACATGAGAATACCAAAGAATTTGTGATTGCAACAATTTTCTGGGAGAAGTGCTGGTTAGGTCTATATTTCAAATTCAATACTGATAAATTCAATAATGATACTTGTGTGAGAGCTGCAACAATGCAAAGTTTAGCTGACAGTTATTGCAGTGGTGGAGTGTGGCATTTGGTAACGGGTGGGAGGCAGAGAGAGGGAAGGTTGTTCATTCAGTATCCTCACTACCTGAGGACAGAGGCCAGTCTGCTTGTGGATTTGTATGCTCAGATATTTTATACTTGTACACCCAGAGAAGTGCTTCTATTATTTTGTCCACCCCGTTTATATCAGCGAGGCTAGGCTAAATAACAGAAACACACAGAGTTAGTTTCAGCCAACTGAATCCAACAACCTGACAACTCAGTGCACATGCACATTAGCATGTCTAGTGCCCCTGTCAGGCGACATATTTACCCTGGTTTGTTCGGAGGATGCTGCTGGCGTCGGCATATCTGGACATCTGGACCTGGTAGTCCATTTGCTGCAGAACCTGCTGGTACAGCTGGACCTCATTGTCTGAGACCAGGTGTCGACCCATCAGAACTACAGCCTGCCGACGCCGGGGGGGTTTCTGCGACCACACCTGAAGCTGAGCAGAGAGAGGGAACATTAAATGAATCTTCTGATCCCCTGTGTGGTGAAGTTTTCATCAGATGATGAATATTTTAGTACAATACACTGTGATGCTGAGTCTTCAGATGGAGATCAGCTTTGAGTCTGTGTGCACCACAGAGACCGGTCAAGGCCCCGTTTGATCTTGAACAGCAAAACATCATAACTGACGTTTAGTAACTGTTTCTTCTAAGATGAAATCAGGGGGGTTTTGGTAGAAAATGTCTGAGCCTTCGTGACGTCTGGAGAGAAGGGATAAAATGCAGCAATGTGGAGGAGGACATGTGTGTGCAGCTCTGGGGTAACTCACAGAGAGAAAATAGGAAACACTGGCTTAACTACTGCACCAAACAGAGGAAAGAAAGAAAAGCAACAGAAAACATGAAATAAATCCTCAAGTCTTTCATTCTGATTCTGTTGCCAGTACAGTATTTTGTCTTTCACCTGGCTCTGCACAATATTTTATCTGATTTTGTCTCAGATACAAGAGTGTCAGTGTATAAACAGTAGGTCAGCCAACAGTAACAATGTGTTTATTGCTGACAAGATGCCAACATGTGTTAACACCCTGACTCGTGGTTTTGTATGGTTTTATTTTCGTGTGTTCTGTGGTTGCTGACGTAGATCTGCTGCTCACAATGACATCTGATCTGAAATATTACCCTGATCCGGTGTCTTACTGTAGATTTCACATCATGAAAATCATCATATCTGTTTTAGTTAAACATGAGAAGTGCATCTTTGATTTATTTGTTGAGTGAAATCATGTATCACATCACGTGTGATAATGCAGAAACTCCACTTAAAGACATTTACAGTATACTTCATGTGTTGTTTTTCCCTCATAAGGCTGCCACCACCAGGGCCGAGGGAGAAACAGATTTCTATTTAAATGACTTGGGTGAAATGAGCCTTTAAGTGAGCAGGGACACGTGAAATATGAAATGTGTCTGTTTGTTTAAACCCACAGAAGAAGAAAGTCTGTTTTCCTGCAGTAACCAGACTGAAGAGGACATTTAAACCGTTCAGTTTTACGGTCAGACTCAGTCCTGTGTCAGTCTGTGTTAGTATTCAGCTCAGATCTGCGCTTCCAGTCCATGCTGGTGAAAAGAAACTGGCACAGTCTCGTTCAGTGTTTCTGTCTCCACCAGTGCAACTTCAGTCTGGTTTCCTTCCTCTCACAGTTTGAAAGATCTGGACAGACATGGACAAACTCTTCACTTTGTCATTCCTCAAAAGAATAAAATACTTTGACTGTATTATAATGCAGGCAAAGTGTCTGTCAGTGGGATTCTGTGGGGAGCTCTCAGCTCACCTCAGTGTTTCAATGAGAAACACATTTAACTGAATGAAACACCCACAGACTGTCTCCTAAAACAACTTTGTGCACACACACCATGTTCACACCGACGCTTGCTTCAGTCTCTCCTGCTGTTAATATCTTAGGCTCAGTATGAAGTCCTCGTGGCCATACATCAGCCTTCAAGCTACTGTAAGTTTGGTTTTCCTCCAAACTATCTGTCCTGATCATTTCATTTCCTGCTGCCTTTAAACGGTTAAAGACTGGAAGTCATCTGCCCTAACAGCCAGTAGCACAGCCCCTGTAAACCTCACTGAGGCATGGAGAGGAAGGAAGTGCGAGCTCAGTCTGACTGTGTCCTGATGGAGGTGCTACAGCAAAGGCCAAAGGTCACCAAACCCCGGTTCCACCTCTGAACCACCTGACTGTATTTTTCTGTGAACGCAAGTGAAAACTGGAGGCGTTTGGCACCGTCACTACAAAGTGTCTCATTACCACACACACACACACACACACACACACACACACCAACTTGGGTTTCCCTGCTTGGCAGCGTGGCGAAGCTGAAGTGTGTCCACACTAACAAGGCCTCATACCACAGACTGATGAACCAACACAAAGCACACTCATCACATGATCCAGAGCACAGCAGCTGTGACGCAGCAGTGAGAGCAGGGAACCCTGAGGCGGCCGATGTGATGCTTGTCAGATCACGAGCAGCGGGTGACAGAGGCAGCAGCAGCGGTCCAGATATCACAGTACAGATGACATCAATCTGAACTCCAGTACCTCTGTCCTTCATGTTACACAGCACACGTCTCTGCTTCTGAGTTAAACTGCAGGCAAAATAGCATGTCCTGCAGGTTTTAGTCCAGAAGGATATTAGAGTGTTTATACACACAGGGACCAAATAGTTGAGTAATACATACAAGTTTACTAAACACTCCTGCTATAAATGTGCAAATGAAAACATGAGGAAACCTTTTTTTGCGTTGCTGTACATTGCTGTGAGCCCTGCCGCAGTCCAGACCACACAATGGTATAAAAATAAACTCTGCGGGACTGTGATGATCTGCTCCCAGCAGTGAACTCAGTGTGCAGGTCATTTCAGCCTGACTGAAGCTGTGCAGAGGAACCAGAGAAGCAAACAGCTGAGGGCTTCCAGCTGACGTGAACAGGACCGCAACAATACAACACGGACAGCAGGTTCACAAACACCAGCAAGTGAAACAGGGTCCAGGAGTCCACGGCAGGAGAATCCCCTGCCATGGCAGTATGTCACAGATGGATGTTTACACAGTGAGCTTTTTCCAGAGGTTGCTACAAGCTTTGTGCATTTTAGTGCACGTCAATGACCAGGGCACATGTTCTTCACTTTGTGAAGTTCAACCAAACAGACTCATCTGGATTTGCTCTAAGACTGTGGGTCAAGAATTGGAGACAGGTTTCCAAGCTAGACATGTTAAAAGGATGCTGTCTCTGGAATGGTCAATCCATTAGATTCCTCACATATATTTTACATGGTGAATATCGTTTGCCATTTGACAGAAGATTTAGAGACTGAACAGAGTGAATAATTCTGTTGCCCCTCAGTCTGTAAATGTGTAAAATCAGTTTGAACTTGGCAGGCCTGAGCTGGATTTTTTTCACAGCATTACTTGCTTGTACTGCAGCCATCTTTCCATAAGGCCTGAGTTAAATATTTGTTATATGCTTTTGAGATTATGTATAATAAGTGTGTTGTTGGTTGTGATGTGTGCCTTGGAACACAAGACACATTTAGGAGTATAGGCAGACAAAGTATAATCTAATCATACTTGTTTCTCTGTACAATGAAACATGCTGTCATTCCTCAAAAGTGACCAATAAATAACCGTAATAAACCAGCCTAACTCAACTGTCATTCATTGTTTAAGCAAAAGGTCCATCAGTTTTAAAAGCTCACAGAGGAGATTTCTTAAACTGCCAGCCTGCTCCTTTAAAGAGAACAGTTGACAGACTGAGGACAGCAAAGTTTAACTGGTGCAATAAACTAAACCAAACCAACTGCTGAGCTCAGTTTGACCACCAACCTGACAGGATTGATGACCTGAGTGTGTATGTCAGCTGTTACTTCACACCGCATCATCACACAAATATTTCTATCAGGGACACCGAGGTCCAGGTCACACTTAAAATACCCAGCACACATTCTGACAGGACAGTCTGAATCCTACAGGTTCGTACAGCTGTCAGTCATCCTGTCCTGCCCTGTGTGCAATCACCCTGGCGCACAGGGCAGCTGAACCCCTCCAGCCTAAAAATACTGCAACAATGAGCCAGAGGGAGCTTTGACCCAGCAGGCATGACGCTGCCTTGTCCTGCTACTGGAAAAGACTACACAGAAGTCCATTCAGAAACCTGCTGTTTATATATAAACAGAAATGAACAGTTTGTAGAACATTTGTGAGAAGAGTTAGGCAGTCATGTCGGTATAATAGACGGTTCATAACACACTGAACAGCACTTGTATTACTGGATAAGTTTTAATAAAGGCATGTGCACATACTGTGCTGGAATAAAACAACTGACTGGAAAATGATTAAAACACTTACCCTTTAAAAATATGGTATTGCCTGATAACCTTAACCAGATTTATCTGTATTGTATTGCACTTTGCTGATAACCAAACATATCTTAAAATGTGCTGGTTATAATTTCATTTTCTCAGTGAATGCATGTACTATTATTATTATCAGAGCTATTACATTTGTCACTCTTACTGACATTCCTAATGGACTGTATTTAACTTACAAGTCGTTCCTCAAGAGCCTGAAAAGTCCACATTATCATTCAGAAAGTATCTAGACACGTTTTAAAATGCCATACTTTTGAGTGACATTTGGCAATTTTCCATTTTTCCCAGTAACCTCTGTGGCTCTGGGCAGTTATGTAGAGCTTTCAGTCCTATCTCATGGTCTTCCTTGGTGGATGATGAGTTAAACTCTCTGGAAAACCGCTGCTTCCAACAGACTATGAGAGGATGTTGGTGGATGATGGCGAGTTTATACTGTAAGTGATGCTCTGGAACATACTGGGTAGATTTGGTGATTTCTTTCTGAAATAAATAGGCACGTCTTTAAACGGATTCCGAGAAAGCAGTTTGGGGAAAAAGAAAAGAAGAAAAGTCATCATCCGTACCATTTCTGATTGTTGGGATCACTGTAAAACGCGCACTCACCTGAGGAGGTAAACTCACCTGTACATTTTCCAGGGTGGAAATCAACTTTTTGGTCTCCTCCATCAGGAGTTCATCTGACGCTTTTCTGCTGCCGAGCCACCATCAGGGTCTGGTAGAAGAGACAGACCGCCACCCCGATCAGCAGCAGCGGGCCGGAGCAGGACCGGTATCGGAGCAGCTTCCCGGCGTCCCTCAGGAGTCGTCCGCCGGCTGAAGCCAGGAGGCGCCGCATGAGGAAACACCTTCACTTCACATTCCCGAGGGTTTCACTTAGTACCATCGTCTTCATCTCAGTCCTCACTGCAACTGGGTAAAATGAAGTTTGGCAAGCCCCCACCCCCAAATCTAAATCAGTGTGGGAATGTCAGGTAAAACACCTTTTGATGGATGGGTTAATGTGCCTGAAAAGACGAGTGTTTAAAATGAATTCATTTAAAATTAATTCTGATGATAAAGCCTATTATTCTTCAAATATATTGCGGCTGCTGTAAAGTTGCTGATTAAATTAAATCAAGTGGCCCTGGACAGATTACATTTATGCCGAATTTATTAATTGATCAGTAGGAGTCTGAGAAAAATTAATTCACATTGTAAGTCTTAGGAAGTCTCATCAGTAACTGATCAAACTGTAAAATCCATAAATTTTGAGTCGGGCGCTCTGTGCGCCGGGGATGTATGCACAAAACAGAGGAGCGAAAACGCGCAGAGCAGGAGAAAAGTTCGCTTCACAGCGGCCAAGCAGCAACCCTCTCCCTCCTGGGAGAGATCGTCTGGGATTAAAGATGGATAGAACACCTCAATGCTAAACTCTTCCTTTATTTCCCAGATTATCCCCCGGGTTGTCTGGATCCAAAGTCCGCAATGCATCAAGCTCCGCGTCTTCGTTTTTATCCGCGTCCGTGTCTAGAAAACTTGGCGTCCTGTCATCTTATGAAAACTCCAAGTAAAACTGTAAACAAAAAAGTTCCGTTAGAGGAAACAGCTGACGTGAGGGGGGAATCGGGTAAATGGAGACACCGCAGTTCCGTTAAAAATTGACAAAGGTACTAAGTTTGATGGCGTCTGAGAGAAGTTCAAAACAACAAACCAGCGCTCGAGTCTGGCATGACCATCTGGTTCGAGTTAAACCCAGCAGCAGAAACCAGAAGCCACGCTGGTCAGATTTCCAGTCCGCCCTCCGCCTGCTGAGCCCGGACTCTTCACTTCTCCACAGGTTCCGTTTTCCTGAACAGACTCGAGATGGATCTCTGTTTTCTTCAGTTTGCCAAGTGAAGTATGGTCTGTGAGACTGTAGGAGGTCAGCACCTCCTCCTGATCCCTCCTGCTGCACCCTGAAGACAGATATTTCGGGAACACTCGCACACATGTTCAGCATATGTGAGTGTGTGTTTTGGGTTAAACTCGGTCGAAAAGTCGCATTTCTACAAAACACACAAAGCTGAGAAAAAGTATTCTACAAAGAAACTGGTGTAAAAATTTTTCTGCGGACCAATCTTAAATCGCCCTTATTCTGGTGATGCATTTCTACAGGAACGCAGAGGGTCGGTTAGAAAGTTCGCTGCATGAGGCGTGCGTGAGTTTGATAAAACGATCTCAGCTCAATGTCTAATTACTAGCCTGTTCCAGAGCTTTTGACCCAATCATACAGACTTCGGCCTCAGTGTGCGTCTGTTATATAACCACAATCCTCTATAACACTATAATAGCAGGCCTTTACACTCGTTTTCAGGGTATTTTCAGAACTCCTAGAAACCCTTCAACTGGATGAAACAATCTGTTTACACCAACTGGGGCTGAAACTAATGAACATTTTAATGGTCGATTAATATGTGGATTACGGTCACGACTGAGTGATAATCTGGTTCTAATCTGGATGCATCAGTAACAAATGGGCCTATTGCTGGTTTGACATGTTCCAGTGATTTAGGTCCCAGCACAGTACTGGACCTTCCTGCTGCATCGAATGTGCTCCATCATCAGCAGACTCGAACACCGACTCGCTTTTTAAGCAAAGTGTTACATAAAGTCCAAATCAGATACAAAACCTTTATACTTTTTTAATTAATTGTAAACTGAATCTCTGGGTTTTGGACAAAAGAAAACATCTGCAGCCGTCACCACAAAACTTTAAACAGTTAACGATTTATCAAGTAAATAATCAATTGAGAATGAAAATAAAAATCATTTCCTGTTGACGGTTTAAGGAGGGAAAATATGGGAACGCGAATTTAATCACAACACTTTACCGAAATATTTTGCTCATTTTATTGGATCTTTTTTAACTTTCCTTGGAAACAACCAGTCGAACACAGCAACAAACAACACGCACGCACAAGTTTCTGCTCTGGCTTTGTTCTGGACAACTTTAGCATATCAGACTCGCGTTTCATCCTGATCCTGTTAAAAGTCACATTTCGTACAGTCAGTCGTGCCGCCATAGTTGTAGTCCAACATCTCGTCCTGCTTGTAGTTTTCTTCTTTTCATGGGAAACAGTTTCAGATTTGAGATTAATTAATACGTTAAATCCTGAGATTAAAGAAAAGATTCAAAGAGAAAAACACAAACATCTCACAAACTCTGGAGATTGAAGAGTTCAATTTGCTAATGAAACTTTGAGGAAGATCACATTTCTGTTTATAACAACAGTTTTAGTAAATTGCCCAAAACCCCATCAGCTAAGTTGTGAGAAAAACTTTGAATTATAAAGTCAAAGTCTGGCTAAATAAAATGAGAATTACTTCAACTAGAGTTCTATTAATCCAGATCAAGGTGATTAAAATGAGAACTATGACATTTAAGTCAAAAGGTCTGGTTTCTAAACGAAGGCAAAATCTGATGAGGATTATTACAGTCAGAATTTATGTTGTGACCAAATATTGTCAGAGAAAAAGAGACTAAATTCTGTCAAATCTTGGATTAATCAAATCTACATTGTGTTCTAAGACAGTTTTGTGACAAAAGTCTGAAATCTGCACAGACCAACTTTGATACGATAAAGTTAGGTTCATCCAAGTCTGACATTTAAGTCAGAAATAAATGAATCAGATTAAAACAAATCAAAAATAAGAATTTTAAGGAAAACTTCAGCACAACTTTTACATCAGATTTTTAGGAGTTAAGTCCATCCATCATCATCCCCTTAATCTAGGGCCAGGTCGTGGTGGCAGCAGGTTCACCAGGGTTGTCCAGCTCCTCTGGTGGGATTCCAAGGTGTTCCCAGGCCAGATGAGATATAACCTCTCCAGCACATTTCAAGTCTGCGCCGGGGGTCTCCTACCAGTCGGACGCACCTGGAAGACCTCCACAGGGAGGAGCCCTGGAGACATCCTGATGAGATGCCCGAACCACCTCTACTGGCTCCTTTCGATGCAAAGGAGTAGCGGCTCTACTCCTGAGTCCCTTCCAGATATCCAAACTCTACTATCTCTAAGGCTAGGTGTGACCACCCTACGAAGGAAGATCTCCTAACGCTAACCCACACAGGCAGGGATCAACACGCCCAGATACCCGGACCTAGCCTGCTGCACGACTTGCACTGCACCCAACCCCGATTCTTTTCCCTGCAGGTGGTAGGTCTACAGGTCGGTGGCACCATGTCATTTCTTTGAGCTGTGCCCGACCAGAGCCCATGGGCCAAGGCCCGGCCAACAGACGCTCAGCGGGGAGCTTCCCTCCCAGGTCTGGCTCCAGCAAGGTGCCCCAGTTTTTCTAATCCAGGCGAGGTAGCGTAAGAAGTTACCATTTTCATCAGGGTTTTTGAATCTCTCTTAGCCTGGGACCAGTTTGCCTTGGGAGACCCTACCAGGGGCAAACACCCCAGACAACACAGCTCCCAGGATCATTGGGACACAAACTTCTCCACCACGATAAGGTGGCGATTCCAGGAAAATTAATTAAGAATGACAAAAAAGTGACTTTTGTTTTTCTTTGAAATGACTGTGATGAAAAAGTGAGTATTATTAAAGTCTGAGTTTCGATGTTTAATTCATACTTTACAAAAAAGGCCAAATTCTTATCACAAAATTCAAATTGAATTCTAATTTTGACTTCTGTATGTGAAGGTCAGCTTCTCAGGACAGAACAGGTTAGGACCATTAAAGTCACAGTTATCAGGCTGAGCTCGCATCCTTTATTAATCTGGACCTTTTCTCTGATTAATCTCAGAACTGAGTTTGCGCACCCATCACCCCAGTGCTCGACTGTTCTCAGGATAGCAGGATGAAGAGGATCCGTCTTCATCCTCACAACCTGATCCCCACAGACTGACCCCTGACCCTGGCCAGATGAGCTCCGTGGTGGGCAGAACATGCAAATTAGTTTTGGGACAAACTTCCAGTGAAGCTGCAGTTTTAATTCACATGAACCTGCATTTGTTCATCCAATCTAATAGTTTCCATAAGAGTCAAGTTTAGTTTCAGTCTAGTTCTAGTGTTCTGTGATTTGAACAATGCATTTTGACATTATGAGCAGAAGGAATGGTTTTTATGGGGATTAATACAACAAATTACAGCTGGAGGTAGATTTCATCTGAGCAAAACAAAAACATATGAGTTATGAGGATTAGTCTCAATATTATGACATGAGGAGTTTATTTTGATCAAATAAAGTTGAATTAATTACAGTAGGCGAAAGAACTGTGACTTACTTCCATCCATTATCTAGACCACTTATTCCTGAACAGGGTCATGGGGGGCTGGAGTCAATCCTAGCCGACACTGGGCGAGAGGTGGGGTCCACCCTGGACAGGTCGCCAGTCTGTCACAGGGCTGACATGTAGACAAACCACACACACCCACAGGTAATTTAGAGTCGCCAGTCAACCTAAGCTGCATGTGTTTGGACTGTGGGAGGAAGCCGGAGTAGGGTTGTATTTACCTTCTTGCTATGAGGCAACAGCGCTAACCACTGCCCCACCATGCCACCCTTAATAAAATCCACATTTGATCAAATAAAGTCAACATGCTGCGACTCAGTCATAATTCAGAGGAGACATCTGACTTCTGCCAGTACTGACGTAATGAAAATGAAGACGGAGCGCTTCATCGTTTTGTTTTGGAGAATGGTTCTAGATGATAATCTCATCTTTAGGAGATAAAGACAGAACTCTGAAAAAGGTCAGATGTTATGTCACGTGTCAGTCTTCAGTCTCACAACTCAAATGATTCTCCATCATGTGACTTCACCCCGTTTCTGTTGGCACCAAGTATTTTATCTGTCAGATTCAAAACCCTGTCAAAACCAGTTTGTGAGCAGCCTGTTGACCTCTGACCTCACTCTGTTTGCAGTGTGCGTTAAAATCCAACATGGGGGGGGCAGACAATGAGGAGTCTATTTGTGGCGACTGCCTCTCCTCTTCATGGCGGCTGTGCACTGAGGGCAGTACCACTTCCCCTTTGGAGCCTCTGTCAGACCAACGCAACCATAGTGGAACCACTCAATCGGACACTGGAAGAAATGGTAATACTGACATGAATGACTGGACAAATGAACCGTTTATCAAACCTGTATTTACCTTTTGGACTGTGGCTCTAAATGATCAGCTGCAACAATCTGTTTGCTGTTGAGTGGACCAACGAAACATTAGCCCTCTACAACTTTAACCACTAATGAATTGTATCTTAGTTATGTGACAAAGACAAACACTGGCTCCAGTTCTCAAATAAACATGTAATTTGTCATTAAAAATGACAAACCTATTGTAGGCGTAAAAACTCTTGTTTTCTTTTAAATAAAAGTAACTTTTACATTAAGTGGTTAATAAAGATTACACGATTCAGCTGCCAGCCTAGCAGGCACAGCACAATACTTACATCTGAGTTATCACAGCCAACCATCTCTCCATAGGAAACCTGGAAAAGATTAAAAAGTACATTTTGAGAATATGTAGTTGTTTATATAAATAATTCAGAAACCAAAAGCACATTTTGATTGAGCTGATCGCTGACTGTACACACAGCCTCACACTGCTGCTACTTTTGTTTTATATACCTGTGTTACTCTCCAACGAAAATAGGTTGAGGTTTCTCAGCTTCTGTTATTCTACTGGATTTATTAAGAACACAAACTGAAACACTAAGAAACAGAAGGAGCTATGGACCGACACAGCAAAGGGAGGAAAAAAGTCTCCTCTGTGTAAACAGATGCTTTCAAACACTTCCTGCGTATTTCCTTCCACACCTGGTTACAGATGCAGTATCGGGGCTCGTTGGGGTCATAGGTCCAGTCCACCTGGCTGTTGGCCTCAGCCTCAGGGAGCGCTGAGGCCTGCTGGGAAAGCTCCTGAGCCAGCGCTGATGATGAAGAGCATGATGACAGTGATGAAGAGGAAGACGATGAAGATGACTGATGATTGGAAGACTTGATGCTGCTTCTGGATAGCAGAGGAAAATGGGAATAAGAGGTGCTTGTTTTCCTACAACACTT